GCGAGCGATTTAGCGCAACAGCGTGTAATTTCCTCGCGAGTATCGATTTCCGTCGCGAAGAACTGTATCCATCGGAAAAAATTGCCCCCGAGTCCGCGATGAAGGACGCTGACGCCGGCGGGCCTTAAATCGCGGGTTGGGAAAAAAATGCATGAGACGTGAATTACGTTTATTACAGTTGAGCGTTGAATGTGCGCGACGTACAACCGATCTCACCGCCGATCTCGCTTCCCTCCGCGTCGCATTCGCGAATGCTTTCTCAGTTCGTGTTCTCTCGTTTCCATTTTCGAGCGACCGAAGAAGAAGACGTCTCCTCCGGCGTGACGATGAACTGCTGCGTGAAAATGTAAGTCNCCGGCGTGACGATGAACTGTTGCGTGAAAATGTAAGTCGCATTGAACTGTGCAAATCGTGTCATTTTCGTAAGACAGAAAAAAAATGCTAAATTCAATAATTAATAAATAATTACTCCAATACTACTTGGCTAATTTTTATCTTACTTGGATCAAATAAATATATGTTTTATTTGAATAATTTTTTGGGCAAATATTTTGAATTAGGGGAAAAGATGCTAGGGAATATTGAAGTATTTATTTACTTGAGTTTAGCGCTTTTTTTTCTCTGTAGCCGATTTTAAAGCGAATGTCGAATCTTTCCACGTGCACGAAGGGAGATCGATATGATGATCTTAACAAGCCGAGATTCGCGAAATAGATTGTGCGACAATTTGCGGAAAATGGTATTCCTGTCGTTCGTGATTTGTCGCAAAATCTAAATATGGCACAAACATAACGGTGGGCAGCGGCATAATTCTCTCCAGAAATATAACACAAATACGGTCGCGATAATAGAAAAGCATTGCGCAAGCACGTATCGCCCATTGCAAGCTCGGTAAATATAAACGTCAATTTTGTAAAGAGGTCGAGAAATCACGAAAATAGCGTACAACGTATCGTTGTAATGTACCAGTCAGACATATACGTATTAATAACAAACGAGGATGCATAATGAATCTACGATTTAGCAATTGCGGGACGGTTGCAAGTTTTAGTCAATAAAACTTTTAACTCGACGGGCGACGTGGACGTTACCTTCGGTAACGTTATAAAATACTTGCTGGCACTTGTTCTTTCTCAAATCTGCAAAGTAGAAGCGTAAAAACGAAATGGAACAGAGAGATTAACATTCAACGGGAAGACTACAGTAGATTCGTTATTACCACAAACAGAGGATGGTTATTCGCTGAATTAATTCACACCGTAAAACTATCCGACGTCTCGTAATTCTTGCGATTCCATTCAGCCAATGAAGATAACTGTTCGATCTAATTGACGTGGTTAAGTCAACAATGGTGAAAATGTACATACGGTGATCTACAAAGTCATTCCGACGTTAATACATCGCATTTAATACCGACACATAGGAGGCAGAAGCTTTCATGATCTAAAAAACAAAAGAAAATAATAGCTCGCTGTTAACGCAAAACAGTTTTGCAGTGTTGCGCATCAAAACAAACAACGAGATATTCGTACGCTCGTAAATCCTTCCAAAGTCAAATCGACAATTTTGCCCGCGATGATCGTCAGCCGTTTTTGCGATCTCAACATCATGAACAGTAAAATGCGGCTGTCGGTTGGCGGCATGCCGTACCAGAGCGACTCATAGATCGCGTCGCCTATCGACTTACTCTGGAAACAGGGTGAATTTTAACGGCTTTATTAGTGACTAACTAGAAAAAAGAAATAACGTTTAATAAGAGACAGATCGCGATTGTTGTAGCGATGTATATAAATCATTGTAGGAGAATATAAATGTTTAATACGTATTGAGAAAAGTTTACATTATTTTCGCTTTATCTTCATTTATAAATATGTATGTTGCGAGGAACACTGTCGAAGTCTCGGTGGCCGAATTAATATGACGCCTTGCGTCTAAGTGGGGAAGTCTTGATTCGATTCCCGATTGAGAAAGTATTTTTCGCAACATGAGAAACGGAATTTTTCTGGAAACGGATTTTCTCCGGAAACGGAGAACAGAGAAATATTTTATCATTTATTTCACTAATTTATGGTGGGTTTCAGGGGTTTTTATAACATGAAAATACTGGGATTCAAAAGTCGGTACATGCGTGGATAACTGATATATGTTTGTTCGAAAAATTCTTCACTACGTGAGTAATACAGGATGAACATTTATATTTTCCCACAATAATTTGTATACATCGCTACAACAGTAGCGCAATCTGTTGGCTATTCCTTCTTTTTTAGTTTAAATAAATTTGGTGATTGATTGAATTAACATGTAATTTTAATTAAAATGAAATTATTGTGATTTAACTTGATCTTGGTGTGATAATTTTAATACTGTGAAATGAATGGTGAAATGAAACATGGTAACAAAACATATTGATGTCTGTATTATTAACAACGTAAACGTTGTACACACTTAGTTGCAAAGCGGTCTACACACAATAAAGTTAAGAACACACAACAAACTGTCACAATTGAGAATCACTTCCGATGGCCTTGATTGCGTACTGATTATGACGGGAGTTGAAGTATGTTTGAAGCACAAGATTTTCCAATTTCTCGAGCACCAATATCGCAACGTTAATCTATCAGAATACTCTCCAACATATTAACACATTGTTCTTTGAACAAATGTATTTTAACATTCTGTATTGTCACTTTGGTTCCTCTGTCAATAATGACTTTTAATTATAACAGTTTGCTACACTCATTATGTTTAATGTTCGTTTTGCAACTAATTATAAACAATGTATGACGCAATGCAAGAAAGAAAAGAACGAACAACCACGACAAATATTTGTCACATGAAAAGAACAATTATCTACAAACCTTGGCGCTCAAAAATTCCCCGGCGTAACAGAATATGAAAGCTTCTAGAGATATCGCGACATAAAAACTCACAAGTTTGAACATACTTGTCATACCTACGTCAGTACCGACGGACTACAAAGTAACAAGTGTAGTACTGTTCTTCATCGATAGCACGATGCGAAAGCCGAGCATTACTCACAATTATGATTACGAAACCAGCGCAGCAGATAACCAAAGTGTTACACAACAATTGCATCAGCGCGATATAAGTAAATAAGCTTTCAATATTTTCCGATAGAGCGATGATCTTCTGATGCCTGTAAATCAGGCTTTTAATAATGGTCAACGACGTAATAGAATTGTATTTACTGCCGGAAATTTCGGCCAAATCGTGCCGCATAATGTCAATCTGACCGCTTACATGAAGTATCTGTAAATATGAAACAATAATTATTACCTGGCCATTTTGTTTCTAATTGACTAGCTTGGACATAAACGATGGGATATTATTACAGTAACGGTCATGATGAATAAAAAGCAGGAACTAATTATATAATTAACTAATTGCGGAACATATGTGAAATTAATTTAACACGATTATTCGCTGTTTCGGTTTTTGGAGCTATTTGTGTCTCTTAAGTGTTATAACAATAAAATGAAAATTAAAATATATTACATGTAAATATAATTAAATTTGTCTAACGGGCCTTTTAAGTTGCACA